CTTCCTGTAGTGAAGCAAAGGTGAGAAATGAATTACATATGCCATCTGAGGGATGTCTAGATGTGCTTCATGAAGAAGATGCAGTCTCCAATTAAAGAGTGAGTGGAGGATGGTGGTGCCCTTGTCCACCTATGCCGGACATGCACTGCCTCGTACTTTAGGGCATGGGAAGTCAGGGAAGTATAGCAGCTAAGCTGCTTATCTGAGACTTTGCACAATTAATCTCTTTATAGATGATTTTATGTTAACATAATTTCTTTATTGATTCTTTGGGAATTTCATGCACCATAATTCCACTCACCTTCCAGTTCCCCTGTTGCCCTCCCCTTACTCCTGCAGTACCCCCAAAAGAAAAATTTTTAAAAAATCAAACCAAAATAAAATAAACAAAAAAATAGGCACAAAAAATCCCAAGAAATTAAAACAAAATAACAGAAAAAAAACTCTTGGCTTCTCTTCCTTCCCCTTCTCTCCAATACCTCCTCATTTGTCCTGGTGGCTTCGGGAGCAGTATGCCACATGATACACCCTTTTGTCCAATCAGCTTTAGAAGCAAATGTTCATAGCAACGAGTGGTTGGTCTGGATCAAGGGCTCTGGTTTCTGGTACACCGTCTTCACTGGATCCTCACCAGAACTCCTCTGGGCTACCCAAGGACTGCCCAATCATGCAGAGACATTGAGTTTTGTTTACACCTACACATCATAGTCCATTACTGAAGGAAGTCAGGGCAGGAGCTCAAACAAGGCAGGAGCCTGGAGGCAGGTGCTGAAGCAGAGGCCATGGAGGAGTGCTGCTTCCTGGCTTGCTCATCATGGCTTGCTCAGCCTGCTTTCTTACAGAACCCAGGACCACCAGCCCAGGGGTGGCACCACACAGAGTGGGCTGGGCTCTTCCACATGAATCACTAATTAAGAAAACGCCCTACAGGCCTGCCTATTGCCCCATATTATTTTCTCAATTGGGGTTCTCCCTTCTCAGATGGCTTTAGCTTGTGCCAAGTTAGCATAAAGTTAGGCAGCATGCTAAGAAAGCACTTACCAACTGAGCTACATCTCCAGCCCAGGATTTATGTTTTAATAAAAAAAAAACAAGCAATGGGTTTTATTTTGACATCTTGAAACATACTTTGCCCTTATTTGTCTTCTTCCCCACGGTTCCTCTTTTCTCCTTCAGCCTTCATGTCCCACGTGTTCTAATTACCCCCTCCCTTTCCCACAACCGCAAAACTGCTTCTTCCACTCCCATGGTTCCTAGGTTCTTTATCCTCCACACAACAGATATGATGAGAAGTCAAGCACAGGGCAATTGATTCCTAAGCAAAACATAAAATGTCCATGTTTTATTTATTCATTGTATGTGTCTGGATGATTAAAGCATGCATGCATGTCTATGCAACTTGTGTGCCCGGCATCTGAAGAAGGCACTGGGCATTCCTGGGAATGGAGTTACAGACAGTTGTGAGACAGTGTGTGGATGCTGGAAATCAAACTCAAATTTATAGGTAAACATTAGCCCGAGGTGAACACAGCCCCTAAGGGGCGGGACTTATCCCTACATCTCCCCTTTTTGTCTAAATAAGACAGAACTAAACCAAATACAACTATATACAATAATAACAAATAATAAATATAACAAACAATATTGAGAACAAAAGTTTTGCTAAACATTCTACCTCAAGGAGTCTAAATATGTAGAGAGTAACTACAATTATATAATCTTCAACTCCGTCAAAGATCTGAGAAGGGAATAAATATTACTTAACAAATGAGATATATCCAAAATGTGCAACAATTGACAGAGACAACTGACTACCTGGGCAATCACCAAAGGTTTCGTTTGCAATGTTGAGTCAACCAACTTTGGCAGCAATCTGTACAGATGGTCCTCATTCCCATAAGAAAACAGGCTGAGAAAGCCATAGGGAACAGGCCAATAAGAAGTAATGCTCCTTGGCCTCTCTCTCTCTCTCTCTCTCTCTCTCTCTCTCTCTCTCTCTCTGTGTGTGTGTGTGTGTGTGTGTGTGTGTGTGTGTGTGTATGTGTATTTGTGAAAGACAAGAAAGATATGTAGAGGTCAGAGACACCATCTGGGAGTTGGTTTAAATCTCCTATCATGGATTCCAGAAATGGAATTCAGGTTATCAGACTTGTATGGAATATGGTCCTAGGTGCAGAGCCATTTCAATGGCCCTTTCCCCATGTTTTCTTTCCATTAAAATATAAAAACAGAAGTGTTTTTTTTAGATTTCTCTCCCTCTCTAAATAAGCAAATGCTTGTAAAATGCTAGCTAGTAAGGAAAACATAGGGCTGTGCATGAGCTTGGGGGTAGTGTGAGCTTGCCTCATACATGGGTCCAGAAGAAATCATTATATATTCCCTGCTCTTTAATTTATTCTCATGTGTTGTATATAACCATATATAGGCCTATAGGGAATTTTCTTCAGAATTTAAGATTTCTTATAACTTAACACTAGAACGACAGCCCAGTGACACAGAGGGAAAAAAATGGATCTGAAGAGAAATTTTGTTAGTATTCAGGCACACCCTCACACAGCACCTCACACCATCTGCCTGGCTGTATAGCAAATGGTATCCTGTCCCTTTAAGAGACCCTCCGTTCACTCTCAGTCTCTCTAGTGCTCTCCCTCCCTTCCTTCCTCCCTCCCTCCCTTCCCTCTCTCTCTTCTTCTCTTTTTCCCCCACTGAGGAAAGCAGGTCTCAGCCTCTTTTCCGTCTCCCTCCTCCCTCTCTCTCTGTTTCTCTTTCTCTCTGTCCCTTCCTCCCATCCCTTCCACACCACTACACCGCCCCTTTTAATAAAACTTTGCACCCATTCTTCATCTACATGGCATATTTGTCTGTCCCTTACCAGCCGTGGGTTGAACCTCACCCACATGCCATGGGACCTGGAAAGATTTCCAAATGTCCCACTGGCACACTGGAAGATGTTCAACACCATCAGCCGTCAAGTGTTGCAAATCAAATTTCAATGAGATGATACTTGTGAAAATACAAAAGATAAGTCAGTCCTGGTTTCACAGCTCTGCAATCCCAGCACTTGGAAGAGGAGTGTGTGTGTGTGTGTGTGTGTGTGTGTGTGTGTGTGTATGTGTGTGTGTGTGTGTGTGGTGTCTATCATATATGAGTTTGAAGCTGGACAGCAAAATATGGTCTAAGAATTGAAAAGTACATGTTGCATGCTGAGGATATAAGTCACAGGGAAGGCACTTGTCTAGCATGCACAGGTGCTGAGACATATGTGAGAGTGTAAACATACCAGAGAACAGGAACCTGCTACATTACTGGTGGTGCAACTACTAGCAACTGAGCGTTTATATATAGAAAAAAAGGAGATACCCCAATTACCTACTGCTTGATGAGTAGGTAAACAAAGGGTGGTGTGTTAATACAGTGGTCTAGTTTCTAGTCATGGAAAAAGGTAGAGAAAGGATACATCCTATAACATGAATAAATATCACAAATATTAAGTTCATTTGAAAGTAGCCAAAGGACTGAAGAATGGGACACTTCTTTATTAGATGATTTGATTTCTCTTTAATACCCAGAATGAGACACTTGAAACAGAAAGTTAGATTGGTAACTAATAGGTGGTGGGGGTCTGGAGAAATGAAGAGTAACTGCTAATGAATAAAGTGATTTTTCTCAAATGACAAATTATTTTAAAAGTAAATAGAATAATGGTTGCGTTATTGTAAGAACATAGTAAAAAAATACCTACTGGGTTATATACTTTAAAAGAGTAAACTTACTACATAAATGTATTACTTCTCAATATCTACAGATCACATTTCATGTCTATGTTTTGTCTGCATATATGTATGTTCACTGTGTGCATGTCTGGTGCCTGCAAAGAGACAAGAGGGTGTTGGATCCCCTAGATATAAATATCTGTGAGCTTCCTTCCATTTGGGTGTGGTTGTAGGTTGAAGGGTTTGCGCTGAGAGGTATTGAGGACTACTTTTCTCCTCCAGGGGCATGTAGAGTACCTTCCAGTACAGTGAACTGTGGTTAGTAGGTGAATAATGTAGTTAGACACCAGCTCAACGTCTCCATATTCAGTGATAGAAGTGTTCCCTCCAGAAACAAGACCTTAACATCAGCTTGTGTGAGCAACCAAGAGCCTTGGCAATAGCCTGTGCTATTTGGTGGTTTCCATGGGTCCCTTTGGTGAATGACTCAACAGGCTGTAACCTGTTCCTGGCACTGGAGGTTTAATTTGGTGGCACAAGATATCTAGTTGAAGTCTTCTCTCCCCTGTTGTTTTTTGTCTCCCTGTGGGTTCCTTTCACATATGTAAAGGAAGATTCTAGGATAGTCAGTGTCCATATAGTTTTTCAAAAGACCTTTAGTATTGGTTGTCTCTCTCCATTTTCCTTTCTTTACCTTTCTGTCCCATCCCCCTTTCATTAAACCATCCAATTCTAGTTTTCCTTAATAGCTAAATAACACTATAGACTTTTTTCTTTCCTTTCCTCTCCTTCCTCCTGGTCCCTTACTAGGTTCCATACCTCTGTGGGTATTCAGATTGAAGTTCCCATATCAGAACCATAAAATCCTTAAAAGAGAAAACATACAATATTTGTCTACATGTACTGAGCACTGTATGCTTTTGACGCTGAAGTCTGACATGGGCACACACAGAACACAACCTCGGTGCACAGCTGCTGAGTACCATTGTGAGCTCATAGCGCATCACTATGCCCCTAGAACTGTGTTGCTAAGGGTGAATCAGAATTCAGCTCACACTGAACTAAGGATCTGCCCAAGCAGGACGCTTATTTGGTTCAGTGGGGAATTTTAACCAGATTTTGAACGTTTACTACTGGGTTTGGGAGGGTGGGGGTGGTTAAAGGGGAAGGAAGGGAGGGGCAGTAGGCCCGGGAGGGCCAGGAGGGCCAGGAGGGCCGGGAGGGCAAGGAGGGCTGGGGGGGGGGCGGGGTTGTCGGGAGGGCCAGGAGGGCCTGTAGAGCCTTAACATGCAGGAAGATATGGAGTATGATGCCCTAACCATTCGGGCCCCTCAGCGGTCTCCCTGGTATACCCACCTGTGGCCCGCATGCCTGGGTCGTGGGTGCTTGGGTAGAAGACAGCAGCGATTTCCTTTGTACCTAATTGGGTACGATCCCGTGGGCCGATTACAAAGGGCGGCCAGTGTGGGTGATGTCAAATTAGTCGAGAGATTGATCAATGCCAGGGAACACCGTGTTAACGAGTGCGACAGAAGGAGCAGGTAATGGGGCCTGAGGAGGGGCGAGGGGCAGGAGGGGCAGAAACTGTTGGGGACAGTCAGGGTCTACTAGGGAGAAACATACCTTCCAGATCTGCAGCCTGTGGGAGGGCAGATGTCATGCTTAAGGCTCTTCTTTCATGGAGACCTCTGGGTTTGTACCTGCTTTAAGCTCCTAGGCACCTGAAACCTGCACACCTTGGAAGGGCAGCTCCGAGGCTTTCTTTAAGAGAAGCAAAACAAAGAACTTCAGTTAGTTTACAAATCCCTTTACATTGTCTCTTTTAGAGCACTTTACTGAGGGCTTTAAAGGAATTTAGCTAAGGAAACCACATACATCTTTTTATGTGTACACTTATAATGTTTTAGGTTTGAGTGTTTTGGCTGCATGTATTTTCAGTGTACCACACAAGCATAGGAAGAGGGTGTTGGATCTCCTGGAACTGGGGTCATGGACAGTTGTGATCTGCTGTGTGGGTACTAGGAATCAAACCCAGGTCCTCTGCAGGAAAAACTAGAGCTTGTAAATGCCAAGCCATCTCTCCAGCCCTTTAATGTATATGTTTTAATGCTATGTTATATGCAACACAGAAAATTGTATCATAAGATAAATTTTCACATAAAAAGCCAACTCAAAGCCAAAAAAACCCAAAGAATTAACAAGAAATCTTATGTCTGTTTTATGCTTGCTGAGGGATTTCATAAGGAAATTTTCAACTTGAACTATAACTCTGTCCCCCGGCCCCTTATATACATGTTGTGTGTGTTTTGGTAAATACTAGAAGGCTAACGGTTGACATTCTCTTTGAAAATTTCTTTTCATCTCATTAAAAAAAAATCATATGTGTGTATGCACCTGTGCCTCACACATGCCAAGCAAGTGTCTGAAGGTCAGAAGAGAACTATCGACAGCTGTGTTCTGCCACGTTGTGGATTCTGGGGATTGAACATAGGCCACTGGCTCTGCCAGTAGGAGCCCTCACCTAATGAACCACCCTGTGGTTTCTCCACCTCAGCTTTTTTTTTTTTTTTTTTTTTTTTTTTTTAACACAAGAACTTATGTTTATTGCAAACAAACAAACAAAAAGAGAGCGAGGGAGAGAGAGGATGGTGAGGAGTATGGTGAGAGGAGCGGAACGGTAAGGCTAAGAATTGAAAAGCGTCTTACATTCTGCCCTAATGGCAGCATAATTAATAGCAACAAACGGCCGTCTCGCTGCCTGCCGCAGCCGCAGGGTGTTTTTGCAGACCTGACGAGCAATTTTTGTGAAATATGTAGTATGAAGGAAGAAAGCTTGGCGGGTCTTCACTGCAGACTTGGGGCTCCCAGTGTTCCGGACCGGCATGCCCTGCATGGCCTGCCGGGACAGGTGGCTTCTCACACGTGGGTCCTCTGCAGTAGGGCTGGGAGACTTCTGTTCTTCTGACTGGGTGGGCATTTTCAGACCTCCATACTTTTTCCAGTACAGCCAACAGGTCGCACACAGTCTACACTGCATATTAGGCGGGCCCCAGGAGTATCACTGGTGAGACTGTGTGGCAAAGCAGCTCTCACAGGCTCGCCCGAGGAGGGTGTTCTGGGGCTGGATGCAGTGTTGCCCTGCTGAATGAGACAGAGTCGGTGTTGTCGTACCTTGATAAAGAGGATACCTTCTTTTACTCCTTGGTGTATGACCCTTCAGTGAAAACATTATTAGCTGACAAAGGGGAAATCAGAGTGGGACCAAAGTACCAGGCCGACATTCCAGACATGCTACCAGAAGGAGACTCAGATGAGAGGGAACAATCAAAATTGGAAGTTAAAGTTTGGGATCCCAATAGTCCACTTACGGATCAACAGATTGACCAGTTTTTAGTTGTAGCCCGTGCTGTTGGGACGTTTGCCCGTGCCCTGGATTGCAGCAGCTCCGTGAGGCAGCCCAGCTTGCATATGAGTGCGGCTGCGGCGTCCCGAGACATCACCTTGTTCTATGCCATGGATACACTGTACAGGCACAGCTATGACCTGAGCAGTGCCATCAGTGTCCTTGTGCCACTTGGAGGACCAGTCCTGTGCAGAGGTGAGATGGAGGAGTGGTCGGCCTCCGAAGCCAGCTTGTTCGAAGAGGCTCTGGAGAAGTATGGCAAAGACTTCAATGACATCCGTCAGGACTTTCTCCCGTGGAAGTCCTTGACGAGCATCATTGAATATTACTACATGTGGAAAACTACTGACAGATACGTGCAGCAGAAACTCCTAAAAGCAGCCGAAGCCGAGAGCAAACTGAAACAAGTATATATCCCAACTTACAAACCAAATCCCAACCAGATATCCACCAGCAATGGCAAGGCTGGCACTGTGAACGGAGCTGTGGGGGCCGCGTTCCAGCCCCAGAACATCCACCTCAGCTTTTTAGACAGATTCTCTCACCCAAATCCCTGCTGTGTTTGACTGATTGTCTTGGAGTATACTGATTGACCTAGACTTGCTGGCAAAATAGATTTGGGGATCCTCCTGTATCCATATCTCCAGCACCAGTTTCTCAAGGTGCTGGGGATTCTGAAGTTGGGGTCTCAGGCTTGCAGGGTGAGTGATTTTCCAACTGAGTTGTAACAATCACTGCAGCCCTCTTTCCTAGTCCTTGTTTCCTGTTTCTCACTAGATTATAGGCAGGAAACAATGACCCTCAACAGTAGATTCTCCATAGCTCACATGCTTCTTGATCATGTCTGTAGTTGTGAGGTTATTTAGTCTATAGTTATTCAGTCTTCCAAATTAGAGCTTCATACAAATAATAGAACAGTAAATTTTTGTTTCAAAGTATTTTTGCTTAATATGTGTATTCTTTAGAAACACTGAATTTTCCAGCTGTATTTATCCATTCTGCCAATCCACTTATTCCCTGCACATAACTTAGATATCTACTGTACAGCATACAAATCTACTAGCTCTCAAGACCCTCTCATTCATAAGATATTACATTTCTCTGTTCAGTCAGCTTTCCTGACGTTCTATAAATTTAAATATTGAAAACAATGAATGATGCTCAATTGAATCCCTAGTAATTTTTGTCTTTAAACTTTTTGAAAATCAAAGCAAGGGAGCTATGATACCATGGGTTATCTCTTTCTGGATAGATTTGCTCAGTTTTGGTGCTAATTCATGGAGGTATAAGGCAAGGCCATTTGCTACCACCTGGTGTCTATATTAACATGGACATTTTGTCTATTGACTGAGGACTATGCTGTGTCCCTGTTGGAAGCAAATATAGAAACATTAATTCTGGGCAAAGAGAAATGAAAAAAAAAGTTTAAGTATTGATGACTGAAATTTTAGATTTTTGTTTGTTGTTATTGCTATTCTAAATAGTTTACATTTCATAGTCTTAAGAGCAGAAATTTACATAGATACATGTGACCTTTAGAAGTGTCATGGGCCTGTGGATTGTGTCATATTTCATTGGATGTCAGACACAATGGACTGCATGGTGACCTTTATTTTGTATGGTAGCAAAGTAAAAAACATTGCCAATTATTGTCATAAAATATCATGAATTATAAGTGGCAGACATCAGCAATGCTAAAGTGTGAAATAAAGAGTAAGGTGGGTGCAGTGGAACTGCCTGCATTCCTACCTACTGGGAGGATTACCAAGTTCAAGGCCAGCTTAGGGAATATAGTTTTAAAATATTGTAAAGATACTTGAGTAAAATCTTTCACATCTGCAGTAGGTATAATTCTGCTATTTCTCTTCATTGAAATATTGTGTTTGTTACCATTAGGAACAAATTGTAATTGTATCCAGCAACACTGAGCTGTCAGGTGCTGGAAGCATTTGTACGTGCTCTTGAAGATGTGAGTTGAAGCGTCACAGCAGCACTGTGTAAGAGAGCTGCAGTGTTGAATCCCCATTCTACAGATGGAGAGATTGATTTGTGGAGCTCATAGGAGGTCTATGTTGTAACTAGTAACACTCGGTGATTAGAGTAGGATTCAAATCCAATCTGAATTCAATCTACTGGGCATTCTCCTGTTATCCAGAGAGGCTGCTCTGAGGAAGGGTGAAGCTTGTGATAGAGCACTCGCCTTGAATGGGACAGCCATGCGCTATATACCTAGCACAGAAAATGAACACCTGAGTAGAGAAATAAGTAAATAAGAAAATTTTAGTTTCTTCTTTTACATCAGAAGGAAATGCACATTGGTGTCTACTTGAGTGTGCCTTTACATAATAATCTGTAATTTCCTAAAATGTCCTCTCAATTTGTAGAAGTCCACTGCACTACGCCTCTGCCCATAATCATCCTAATGTAGTAACATTGCTATTATCCAACGACTGTACCGATATTAATATGAAGGATGATGAAGGCTGCACTCCCCTAATAAAGGTAACTATCGCGAAACACTTTTGGTACAAAATGGATTAGAAATTATCCTTGTTTGGTTTTGTTGCTGTGATGAAACACTGGCCAAAACCATCTCAGGAAAGGAAAGGTTTATTGGCTTACAGTTCCACATCACAGTCAGTCATGAAGGGAAACCAGGTCAGGAGTTCAATCAGGACCTGAGGCAGGAAATGAAGCAGAGGTCATGGGGGAATGATGCTTTCCCGTGGCTTTTTCCAAGGCTTGCTCAGATATCTTATACTACTCAGAATAACCTTCCCAGTCATGCCACCACCCCTAGGAAGCTGTGCCCTCCCAGATCAACCTCAATCAAGAAAATGCTATACACGCTTCTCAGAGTCCAGTCTGGTGGAGCCAATTCTTCAAGTGAGATTCTTTTTTTCCAGGTGTCTTCAACCTGTGTCAAGTTATCAAAACAAGCAAATGAACAAGCAACCTCCCCCACTACAAAAATGGCCAAACGGTGCTAGTGAAATGCTTTAATATCTAGGTGTGGTGGCACACCTCTGAAACTCTACCACTTGGAAAACTTTGGTGGGGAGGTTATGAATTTAGGAAAGTCTGGTTACTTGAGAGGGATAATATGCATAACCTAAACAATTGGTCTGATCCAAGGGTAACTAGTCAATGGAATTGTTGGAATGCTTATTAAAGTTCTTGATTTCAGTGTCTCTTTCTTTATCCAATACCCACAGGCCGCCCAGCGGGACAATGTAGAATGCATCTCTATTCTCCTCATGCACGGGGCTGATCCCCACATTGTAGATGCCAATGGCGATGCTGCCCTCCACCACGCCATTTGCAGAGGGAACATACCAGTTGTCAGCAAACTGCTGGAGTATAATGTAGATATTAAAGCCAAAACAGAGGTAAGAATCATTCAACTTCATTCACAATGTACTTCTAGCAATGACTCTCAGATCTCTTTCCACATTCTGAAGCTCAAGCAGTCTCACTGAATCTGTTCAGAGTAAAGCATTTTTTCCAAATCTGTTTTTCATAGTTTTGTAGGTAACTTAAAGGAACTCAGCACAGCACATTTTGTTTCAGATTTGGGCTTTCCTTTAAAATTCAACAAGTAAAGGACTTGGGCCCACACATACTTCACATACACACAAACAATAGAAAAAAATAATTTTAAGATAAATGTCTGTAGAAAAAAACAGAAATCTGTTGCAATTAAGAAGTTACTGATGTGACTTGTCTCTCAGAGATGAGGCTAGAGTGGGAAGGTCACAGGCACACAGGTAAATGTGGAAATTTGATCATTGAAGAAAACATGCTGAGAAGACATTTTCACTTAACTTTTTCAGATGTTACATGTACATAACAAAGGGGCCAAAATGGGACTCTATCTTAGACAAGGAGCAACTCCATTGTAATTAATGACCTAAGCCTGAATCCAGGACGTTCCCCAGTCAAGTTTAGCCAATTGGCTAAACAGTTCCAAACCTGGCCTTATAAGGCTGGAAGACCAGAGTTGCAGGATCTGGCTGCTACTGACTATATGTGTCAGAAAAATCCCACAATGGATGAAACTGTTACTAATTCTGTCCAATCAACATGCCCCCCATGTAACTGCTCCCTGACTGCCCAATTATTGAAAAAATATTTAAAAGACTAAAAAGATAGAATTCCCCACGCCCACTTTAAAAGGGCCTGTATGTCTTTGTGTGTGGTCCTCATTATCACTTTATATGGGTGATGGACTGTTGCATGCTGGCTATTTCTGAAGAATAAGCACTCTTTGTGTTTACATACCATTTGAGTCTGAGGTCTTCCTCCAGCATCTTTTGGACCACTACAACAGGAAACGATGTTTGGTTTGGGAGAAAATTTTTAGGTTAGGGAAAATAGTTTTGAAGAACAGGTTGAGAAACTGCTCCAGAGATGCCACTTGGGTTCACTCATTCAACAGAGGCATACCAAATCCATGTTTTAGGATTGGGGTAATTGAGCTCTCTATGGAGCTAAGAAACTTGGAACCAGCAAGCGTTTGTGGGAAGTTCTGGAAATAGTGGTGTTCACGGGCATTGTTGGACAGGGAAAGATGTTTCAAAGGAAAGGGAAGCCCTGTGTGTGTGAATCTGCAGCAAGGGCTGAAGGAAAATCTATCCTTTTGTGACTCATTTTGTTTTCAAAATCTGTGATACATTTTTCATTTGAAAAGCATGTCAATTTATAAAATGAAATTTTTCCTTTACAGTATGGTTTGACACCCTATAAACTCGCTTTGTTTGAAAATCAACTTAAAATGGCGGAGTTTTTAATTGAAAACGGCGCAGATGCACCTTCGGAGCTTACACCAAATAGGTACCATTTCTTTTTTACAATCTTAGTGCTGTTCTTGAGGGTCTCATTGCTTAAGTAATGAACACTAAAATGGTAGAGGGAAGATGGCTTCAACTCATAAGCATATATTGAGAAAGACTATCTCACAGGGAGTGTGAGCTGGAAAAGAGACTGTTCCAACATAAAAAAAAGGAACAGTGTGTACCAGGGCTCAGCTTCCCATTCAAAAACAAGTGATCATTTCTAATCTGATTTGATTGGCAATTTTCTACTTGTTAAGGCAACTTCACATTAATGTTGTTTACTTTGAAAAGTGTCAAGTTTATTATCAACACTGAAATGTATAATTTTATTATTTTTAGCCTGTTCCTTATATATTTTCTTCTTATATATGTTCAATTTAAATATTTTTTTTCAAATCATGTTGTCTCTTTGATCACTCACTTTGCTTTAAGTGAATTTGAGTAAGCAAATAGTTTAGGGTATCCATCAATTAGATGATATTACCAGATGCTATTATTTTCCCCTGTCCTGTCTGAACTATCTTGACACTGTGTTAGTCAGATGTGAATCTGTACACCCAAACTCCTGAAACAGCTAATCTGGATAGGGACACTTGTCCAAAATGAGTACAAAGAACTAAGACTCCATTGAGAAAATGCCTCCATAAGATCTGGTTGTAAGGCATTTTCTTAATTAGTGATTGATGGATAAGGGCCCAACACATCATGGGAGGTGCTGTTCCAGGGCTCATGGCCCTGAGTTCTATAAGAAAGCAGAATGAGCAAGCCAGTAAGCAGCTCTCTTCCATGGCCTCTGTAAGCTCCTGCCTCCAGCTTCCTTCCCTGTTTGAGTTCCTGCCCTATCTTCCTTTAATGATGGACTATGATGCAGACATATAAGCCAAATGAATCCTTTGGTCCCCAAGTTCATTTTGGTCATGGTGTTTCATCACAGAAATAGCAGCTCTAAAATGGACACTTGGTATTTAAGATGATTTCAGCATTAAAAATTAAATGATTACCTTTTTTGTTCATACATGCAAGTTTAAAGTCAGATGAATTAAAAAGTAAAGCCTGTGTGTTGTGTATTTTATATTGAAAATACGCTTTGGACATACCATATATTCTAAACATGGTTTAGCATCCCTCATCTTCATGTACTTGTTTTTGTGTCAAAGGACATGCATGCACTGATATTCCCAACCAAGACACAGTACAACACTGTGTGATGGCTTTGTCTTCCATCTTATTTGAGGCATTTTTTCTATTTTTATTTGGCACTTGGCCACTTACTCCAGGTAAGCAGGTTGGGAAGCCTCTTTGGTATCTTACTACCTCCACTTCCTTTGTACTATAAAAGTGCTGGGATTATAGATACATTACACAGTGTCTGACTTTTTGTTGAATACTTGGCTACTGTGACAATATGTATACCCACTGAGCCATCTATCTGGCTCTAAAACACTCAATTTTTAAAAGAAGACTTTGTGTCTAAATTAAAGAGGTGGCTATAAGCGTATTGTTATTAATTATGGAACTAAGGCTTCTGAGTGCAGAGCACTTTCAATTAAACCTCTAATCCAGTTAGAGGGCCTGTGTTTCCCTCTAAGAAGAACCATTTGAGGTCATTTATTCTTCCTTCAATACAAGATAGACAGAAATTTGTAAAGCTGGTACTTTTGAAGCAAATGAAGTATGCTTGTTACTTTGACATGGAATAGCACAGTTTTAGGAATTCACGACTAGGAACATGTCTCAGGAATAAAGTACTTATCACACAAACCCAAGATTTCAGAGTTCAGCTCCTCAGAACACAGAAAGGGCCTCATGTGCTGTGTGCATCTTAATCTCAGGGAACCTTGAGGGACATGGGAGATGGAGAGAGGAGACTGTCTGGAAAGTTATACTTTAGATAGTCTTGCTTTGTACAGCTGTTAACAACAAGAAACTCTGCCTCAAAACTAAGTTAGGAGGCAAGGACTGCCAGTCAAGGATGTCCTCTGACCTAAAAAACATGCACTAGGATCAACAGACACAAATGCATACACAGATGTGAACAGGAATGCATATCAAATATGAAGATGAAAAAGTAAGTTTAGGTTGTTGATCTAGTAAGACTGGGGATCATTATCTGCTAAAAAGACATTGGAAATAGTGGTCAAGGTTGAAGGTTTTCTTAGTTTTCTGCAGATCACTTCAGCAGCGATGCTATTTTGGACTAGCTTCACACCACAGGTGAAAAGTCCCCATGACAAGTTCCAAGACTGTGATGACAGCCAAAGCAGAAACTAGGAAAATAAAGCTGCTGGTCCAGAATATCCTGGAAATGGGCCCTGAAGTACAGCAGTCTTAGCTGTGACCTGGGAAGAATATAGCTGACAAAAGAGTGTTGCTTTTCTTGAGTTTGGAAGCTGGTCGTGAGTTACAAAGACTCAGGATTACACAAAAAGGCTTATGAACAAAGAAACAGCCAGGCGGTGGTTTCAGCATTCACACATGAAAGAACTGTTAAAACAATTTGAAGGTGCCACAACTGTCATGGCTTCTAAGAATGCAGGCAGAAGGATGCTTAGAAGCAAAAAAAAAAAAATACTTTTTCATGTACTGACCATTGAGAGCATAGTACTCAACAAAATACCTCCAAAGAGTTCTGACAGATAGGACTGTGGGGCCTTAGGGACAAGCAGGCAGATGAGTGGAACAGGAACACTGACACCACGAGCATATAAATACAAGGTTACTGGAGCATTCAAGCAAATCTATGGAAAAAGCACTGCTATCATTCGTGTGTGTGTGCAAGAGAGAGAGAGAGAGAGAGAGAGAGAGAGAGAGAGAGAGAGAGAAGAGAGTGTGTGTTTTTATCAAGAGCTAAATTTCCTCTGTTTCTTCTCTATGTGGGAAGGTGGGAAGGACAGCAGTCATTAATCATCACCAACTGTTGAAGAATTAGTTTAGAGTTATTAGGCTGGGCCTTGTTGCCCATGCCTTTAATCCCAGAACTTGGAAAACAGGAGGCACACAGATCGCTTTGATTTCAAGACCAACATGATGCATATAGTGGGTTTAAAGTAATCTGGACTGCATAATGAGACCTGTTTCAAAAAATTATTTGTAAATATCTAATGAGAGATATATTAGGAACTCAAAAATAAAGAATTTAGAAAACATGCTAAGTATTTTTTATGACTAGTTAAATGCTGATCACTTTTAAACATATGTCACAGTGGAGGAGCAGCTGCAGTAGTAGAATCAGAACAATCAATGAAAACCTGTGCCAACTCCAACAAAGGTAAGAATGACTCCAACTGCTCCTACCTTCCCTAAAGAAAATAAGGAAGAGTAAAGATTTTAGATCCCCAAAAAGGAGTTAAGGAAATCCAGTATAAATGCAGTTCTGTGGTTTTCAAATATTCTGAAAAGTCAGAATTAAGAATTTATTTCAAAGAACTTTCAACTGTGAAAATATATTGTCAAAACATTGCTTATTTTACATTAATGCTGATATCTGTACTGCCTTTGAATAAAGGAGAAATCAACTTTACACACGTGTCCTCCATAGTCACATTGCAGCAAATAGGATTATTAGAAATACATATTCTACTTGAGTTTTATGACAAAAGTCTTGTATTTTGTACTGCATAACAGTACACAGGTAGGTGTCACTAGAATGTAATTATGTCACAAACCAACCACAGTAATCAATAACTTTCATTAAATAATTTCCTACCTTATGACATAATTAAAATCTTCTGACCTCTTTAATGTCTGTGCAATTTCTCAATTTGGACAGTTTTGTTCTACTGTATAATTGTTTTCTTTAGAAATCTCCCATTTAGGGGTGAAAGCTTCATTCTGTAATGAATGTATTGAGTTTATGAAGACTTATCAATCCTGACATGTTTTCCTTTTCTTTTTCTTTCTTCCTTCCTTTCTTCCTTCCTTCTTTTCTTCTCTTCTTTCCTTCTTTTTTGTTTTGATTTGGTTTTCTGAAGAGCTAGACATTGAGCACAAGGCTTTGGGAGCATTCTAGGCAAGCACCCTACCCATTATCCCTACCTTCAGTACTTTTCTCTTTAGTTTTTCTTATAGAACATGGTAAGGGTGAATATCATTTCCATGCCGCAAAGCATGATTCAGGAATAAATATTGGAAAAAAGCAGAGTGTAGAAAATGACATCATTCTGTATTTCAAAGAATTCTCTGCTTCTCCATTGAGTCTGGAGAGACTTTGTGGCAGTGGCAGGAACACCACGTAGTATTTACTTTCAGTAACTGACATCACAGTGTCTTTTATACCTCAGTTGTCAGTGACAACCACACTAGGTAGTGAATCCAAAACCCTCTTCTCCCTTCATCTGGTGATGGATGGAGATAGAGACAGAGACCCACACTGGAGCACTGGACTGAGCTCCCAAGGTCCCAATGAGGAGCAGAAGGAGGGAGAAAATGAGCAAAGAAGTCGGGACCACGAGGGGTGCACCCACCCACTGAGACAGTGGAGCTGATCTATTGGGAGCTCACCAAGGCCAGCTGGACTGTGACTGAAAAAGCATGGGATAAAACTGGACTCTCTGAGCATGGCGAACAATGAGGGCTGATGAGAAGCCAAGGACAATGGCACAGGGTTTTGAACCTATGTAATGTGCTGGCTTTGTGGGACCCTAGCCAGTTTGGATGTTCACCTTCCTAGAAATGGACGGAGGGGGAGGACCTAGGACTTACCACAGGGCAGGGAACCCTGACTGCTCTTTGGACTGGAGAGGGAGGGGGAGAGGAGTGGGGTGAGGGGGAAAAGGGTGGGAGGAGGGGGAGAAGGGTGGGAGGAGGGGGAGAAGGGTGGGAGGATGGGGAGAGAAATGGGAGGCTAGGAGGAGGAGGAAACTTGTTTTTTTTTCTCCTTTTCTCCATAAAAAAAAAGTTTAAAAAAACAAAACCCTCTTCTCTCAAGAGGTAAGATGAAGAGAGTCAATATTATTGTGATGGAGACAGCTTTGTGTCACTGTATTATGAAGTTTGCTGTTCATGGCATTTATGGTGGTGAGAACTGACTGAGGCCTCCTGCATAATAAGCATAGGCTTTCCTACTGAGCCGCAATCCCAGTCCACTAGTTGGTGGTTCAAATGACCTTCCTGAGTCATGAGGAATGCTATGAAAGCACATTAAGTTTCTCTGACTTTAATCAAGACAAAAAAATAAATCAAAGTTTCATTTCATTTTTGTTTTCTTATGTTTATTTTGGTTTTGTGAGACAGGGTTTTCCTGTGTGTTGACTTTGAGCCTAACCTGAAATTCATTCTGTAGACAAGGCTAAGCTTGAAATTACAGAGATCTGCATGTCTCTGGTACCAAGTGCTGGGATTAAAGGAGTGTACCATCACTGCCCAACTCAAATGTTTATTTCTAAAAGCAAGCTGCAAGTGTCTAGGGAAGGATTCAGTGAGTTTATTGTTTACATATGTAAGCATGTACAATGATCCTATGTCAGAAGGAAGCCCATGGAATTTGCTGCTCCAGTCTCACAGCTTCTCTGCTGCTCTCTCACCTGAGGTAGAGCTCGGGGTTATTACTACCAAGGGAGGGATCTTTCCAATAATTCTTTTCAGGGGAGATGATGCCTGCTTTCATGAGCATCCTTTAAGCTGCATATAAGGCTGGGAACACAGATAAAACTAAGGAACTTCTTCCCTCAACAGGGATGAGGAGAGGAATCCTGTTGCACTCCCTTGAGCTGTTAGGTAAAAGTTTTTGCCCCTCTTCTCTTTCTTTCTGTTAGGTTATACCCTGATACAAAAGACAAAAGCCATACATGTAGTCCCAGTGGTAGCAGTTTGTACCATAAAATGAACAATTTTAACTAAAAAGCTGAACAAGATTCTTAGTTTCCCTGAAGAACAAAAATGTGTATAGGATCATGGATTTTTTTTTCCATTTTGAATCTGTTGTTTTGTTTGTGAGACACCATCTCACTGTTAGGTAGTTCTGGCTGTCTTGGGAATCACAGGGATCCACCTGCCTTTGCCACCCATGTGCTGGGATTAAAGTTGTGTGCCACCATCCAGACTCTAGAATTTTTCTCAAGTGTCATTATCCCAAAGTCAAACAAGAACCACAGAAGCTATTTTGTGACACAGTCAATTGATGCTTATACTGGTAAGGATGCTACTCTCCATCTGTCTGAGAGAGATCATTTAGGATCATTTCAATTGTTTATGGGTGGGTGTTTAACTTTAGGTATTATGCTTGTTAAATTTAAGTCTTCTTTTATTTGAAATATTAAGAAAATGAATGAATTCCCCATGAGGAAATTTCTTACAAAGGAGTATTTACTCTAGAATAATCTAGATTAATCTCAAAAAATTATACTATTTGTCTAATAATTTTATGTGTTATATTTCTCTAGCATTGTAATGAATTAATTTTGATTTTTTTAGAAGAAAATTTCAGCACTGACATAAAGCCTTCTTGCAGGTAAGGTCTAACAATATATAAAGACTAAGGAAATTCAAAGATAACAAGCTAATTATTGGTTGTATTCTCAATAGATACTGATTTATACACTCAATTTTTGTGTTGTCTTACAACCCCACAGTTTTTTCAATGTATTTTTAGACTGAAAATTTATTGTTTTTAGATCGTGGACATGAGTTGTATACTCAACCATCATGTCCTGTAGTAATAGGGGGCGCGGCGGGGCTGCCTCCCAGGCACCCCGTCTGCCTGCTCGGCTAGCTTTACCCGAAATAATTACATGGACACTGTATTCTTTTAAACACTGCTTGGCCCATTCTCTTCTAGGCTAATTCTCATATATTAATTTAGCCCATTTCTAATCATCTGTGTGTAGCACCCCAAAGTGCGCTTACCGGGAAGATTCTAGCCTATGTCCATCCTGGGTCGGAGCTTCATCCCGGGAGCAGGGCATCGTGTCTCTCTCAGGCGTCTGCTCCAGAGCAGAGATGTCGAGTCTGACCTCACTTCCTCTTCCTCCCAGCATTCTGTTCTGTTTACTCCTCCCACCTATCCTCTAACCAATAAAATGGGCCAGGGCAGTTCCTTTATTAGCCAATGACCTTCCTCCATCATTTCCCCTTTTTCGGTTTAAACAAAAAAAAAGCTTTAACTTTAACATAGCAAAATTACATATAACAAAACAGTTATCAAGTAAAAGTTACAATAATCTTTATCATAACTAAGGAAAACTATAACTAACTATTCTTAACTCCATCAAAGACTCCAGAAAGATACAATACTATATAAGCAAACAAGAAAAAAGCAACTTTTAAAACTCTAGAAATGACAGAGACATCTTGCTGCCTGGACAGTCACCTAAAGTTCCTCTGTACCGTTGGGGCATCCATCTTCAGCCTTCAGGCCCATGGTATCCAGCAGACATTTCCATAAAGCAGGAAAATTCAAAGTCAGTTCAGTCACTATCTGTTGTGTCCTGCAGAATGTCTCGCAGACTCTTTCATGAATCAGGAACCCCGAAAGATCATCTCACCTTAGGCAAGTTCAGTAGTCCTCTCTCTGCGGGTTCTCTGTGTCCAGTTTATGCAATAGTCCAGGCAAGAGCAGTTTCTTGCCCAAATGGCTATCAAACTCCATAAGGATCCTCTTCGATGCCCATCTTCCTCTTGAAGTAGATTGGTGCTGCCAGGAGCAGAGTGTCTCATTGTCATGAAAAGTCCTCAGTTATTAAAACATTAAATGTCCTATTCTATAATCTTTGAAAGACATGAAGAATGTCTATCTAAAATATATCTCTATATATCTAGAAAATCTAACTAACATGACTACAAGCTTTACTATTATCGATGATTATCCATTAACAACCTATATTTCTTAATTATACAGTACATATTTAAATGAACTACACAATCACAATACCTTAATCAAAATCAGAAACACTTATATATATAACAAAATTGATCTTAAATCTCTATCAATAAAGCAAAATCTATACTAATGCAAATTATTCATATCTATATCATATCCCCCTTTAAATGTAAAAGGACGTTTATAAACCATATTTGGGAACATGGGCGCAGTTTTTTCTCTCCAAACTGCTTCCTGCTGAATGGGAGCGTTGTTAATTAGGTCTTTCATGGTATAACCTGTGTGCTAGTTTCATCTCAGTTAGCAGTTGAGCGAAGCAATTTTTTGAAGGCGTGCACAGGAACCATTCAGGAGGACGTGGTCCATCATACCAAATCGGAATAGAAGAAATGAACAGCATCTCATCCTCTGTGAAAACAAAATAAGAAACTCCTTTCCAAAGTATCATATCCTTAGATCCAAATTCAAAATATCTATGTTGGATTAGTTCAGCAGCATTTATAAATAAATATCTTTTAGCAGCTCTTGCTCCTTCCTCAGGATTCAAACAATTCAAAGAGAGCATAATAGCATACAGTATCAAGATTCTCTGTGTATTTTCCATCTTTGTTCGTTTTATTTTAACCTCTATTTTGTTTATTTTTACTTTTAACTTTTTGCTTTTTGAGATAGGTTCTCTGTATCTTTGACCTGAAGTAACTCTGTAGACCAGGCTGTCTTTGAACTCTCAGAGATCCGCCTGTCTCTGCCTCCCAGGCATTCGGTATTAAAGGTGTACACTACTTTACCTTGAACTCACAGAGATCTGTTTGTCTCTGCCTTCTAGGCACTGGGATTAAAGGCGTGTGCTACCACACACAACAACTCTCTTCCTTTTTTTATGTTTTTTACTTTAAGAACTTCAACTTTTAGTCTGCATATATTTTTAACACACTGTTCTCTCTTTACTGTATATCTCTCTTTTACTGACCACATGAGTCTTTAATTTACCAAGCAATCTCAGTAGGACTAAAGGCGTGGCTTTGCCAGCTAGATCTAGTCCATTTCTTAGCTTTCCAGCCTCATGGCAGATATACAGGCTGTAGCTATGTTTACTGCAACAACTGTATGGCATTTCAAGGTCCCTGCCAGCAAGTGAGCTACAACAGACAACACTCAAGTCCTCTCTCGGTAGCCGGCCCTCCTGCCTCAAACAGTCAGAGTTTGCCCTGGCAGGATGGCCCAGAAAGCCGGCATTTTTAAACAGCGCAGCTTTTTTCCTGCTACGGCTGAAAACCAAAAAGCATGCGTTCAGCTTTTAGTCAACACCGTTTAAGTGTTTCGTGGCAGGACCTCTTAATGAGCTACAGGCTTTGCAGCTAAAGCTGAGTCAGGAAGCCTCTCTTAGATGAAAGCACATGCTTGCCTCTAACAAGCAGA